TACAAGGCGGGTCCTGTGACCTGAGATCCCCGAGGCTTAGATACCTTCTGAAGCAAAAGAGAAGGCATCCTCTTCTCTTTACACTGTGGTCACACCCCATCATATACTAGCTGGTGGGCTTCTCTCCCCTGCCCTCAGAGGTCTCCTCTCTGTGGTCCCTCTGACCTCAGCGATAGGCTTGGAGCCTCCATCACACGCAAGGAGCCTGAGAACAGCCCTCTCTCGAGGAATCCTTTCCTTCTTTCCAGATGTGGGGAGATCTGCTGTAGCAGAAGCTTGGAAGGAGGGCAAAGCAGCAAAGGCTGATTTATCTTCCTTCTACATACCTCCCTACTCAGTGTATGCACGTGTGTGTGTGTATGTGTGTGTGTGTGTGTGTGAGAGAGAGAGAGAGAGAGAGAGAGAGAGAGTCCAAGGCATTCAAGTTGACTAAGAATCTAAGCATTGCCTAAGCCAGGGCCTGGGTCCAGGTGAAGCCCCTCCTCCTTTCTCCACCCAAGCTGGGACAGACATCCCCTCCAATGCCAGGGCCAACATCGCTGTGGGAGAGCGTGCATGTGGCCTGGGGCTCCTGCTCCACAGTGGCTGTGTGCACACACACTCATTCCCTGAGAAAGCCCCTGGGGCCTCTGTGGGAAGACTTTCCGGGAGACATTTATGGCAGAAGAGGAAGTCTGGGGCATCATCAGAGCAACCTGGGCCAGGGAACAGGCAAACGCCTGCCAGGAGTGGAGTCAGGCTGCAAACTTCCCCTAATTACAGAGCTTTTAACCCCTTTTCTAGTCACAGGCCATTCAATCAGACAGGGTCAGACTGATAAGCGGGGTCTCCAGAGTACCACTGCTGCCCCTCATAGCCCCCTCCGCCACATGTGCACATCTGTATATGTATGCATGTGTGCATGTGCATAGGTGCACACACATGTATGTGTGTACACACACACACACCACCTGCCCTGCTGCTCATACTGACTCACCCAGATTGATGATAGCAGACTCCTGCCCAAAAGAAGCATGGAACTCAGAGCTGGAAAGAAACCTTGAGGTTTGGGCACCTTCCTCAAGAAATTATCCTCATTATTTTACAGAAGAGGCTACTAGGCTCACAGATCCAGTATCCATGTTTATCCAACTCCAAGCCCAGAACCCAGGCCTCTGTGGCCTCTTACTGGTCAGGAAGCTGAGCATGGGAGAGAAGCTAGGTCCACACAAAGGCACTTAGGGGATGGGACATGGCCTGGACAAAGGTGGGGGTGCCCCCAGGGACCTCCCCAGAGTCGAGCACTTGGTGTCACTTAGAGCTCTGATGTCTAGTTCACTAGCCACATGTACCTATTTAAAATTAATTAAATTTAATAAAGTGCTTAAAAATTCAGTTTCTTTACAGCAGTAGCTACCTTTGAAGCGTTCAAGAGCCACATGTGGCTAGAGCTACTATGTAGAACAGTGCAGATCTAGAACATTTCCATCACCGCAGAATATTGTATTGGGTGGACTGTGCTGATCAGGCAAGGCAGACTGCAGGACCAGATGGTCTGAAGAAATCTGTTTCCTGGTGGAGGGCTGAGGTCCCGTTGGAAGGAAGGAGAGGAGGAGGGAGAAGAGGGCAGAACAGAGGACTCAAGAGAAAGATGCTGGAGAGAGGAGAGAGAACAGAGGAGGGGGAGGCTGGCGTAAAAGAGGAGGGGCAGGAAGGAAAGGGAAATCCTGTGTCTGTCCCTGTGGCTGGGGTCTGACCAACTGTTCTAGTCCTGGACGACTGACATATTCTCCCCATTCTACTCCAGAAGAGCCAGAAAACAGAGTCACAGACTGCACAACCAGGGGGCATAAATAGGGCGTCTGATAGCTTTCCAGACCTAAAGAGCCCAACCTGTCCCCAAACGGAGCACCTCTTGCACCCAGGACTCTCTCCATCCCCAGGGTGGTTTGCACCCCTGGGCAACTGGACTGGCAGAGAAATGTTCCTACCCCTTGCACCGGAAGGGCATGCCCTGGGGCCCTTTTACAGCTCACTGCAGCAAAAATGTTTCCAGGAAGGAAGGAAGGAAGGAAGGAAGGAAGGAAGGAAGGAAGGAAGGGGAAAGGAAGGGAAGGAGGAAGGAAGGGATGGAGAATCTAGTGAAATAAAAATGCTTCTCATGCCACAAGCTGGGTGCGTTTTTCAAACCAGGAGACAATACCTTGATTCAATTCCATAGATGCATAATCCATTTTGTCACTTTCTCACACATTCTTCTAAGCGAACATTTGAGAGAGGGAATTGAACCAGGCAAAGAGTATCATGTCTGAAATCAGAAATGCCTGGGTTTACTTCCCATTGTGCCACCTAATGACCAGGACAGGTGGCTGCGCTCCCCCAGCCTCAGTTGCCTGCTTAGCAGGGCCATCGGGCTGATCTAGCGCACTGATAGGTGTGGAGCACAAGGACCAGGCAGGCACTTGTGTGTCAGTCCCTCCTCCTCCACTGCCCCAGGGACTTACCCGCATCCTCCCCCTGCCACAAGAGCAGGAGAGGATGTACAGAACAAGAGCCCCTGGAGGAGCTCAGGGCCAGGGGAGAGGCAGAAGAGCCAGCAGCTGCAGATTAGGCTGAGGAGTCCACGCCATGCAGCACGACAGAGCCAAGCACAGTGTGAGGGAGGAAGCCCTAGGGGAAAGGCAGTCGAAGAAGGCTTCACAGACACAGAGAAGTATGAACTGGACTGAAAAGAGAATCTGTGGAGGGCCTCTGACACTGAGAAACCACATGAGCCAAGCTCATAAGGAACCTCAACTCTCCCTGAGAAGAGCCCCCAGCCTCAGATGGGAAAAGCCTCTAGCTTGAGCCTCGGGCCCTCCCTGAGTCACCTGGCCACCCCCATCCCTCCAGGTCCTACTTCCCCAGAGGGAGTTTTCAATGCCTCGTTATAGCCCACACCCCCTCTCAATGGCCCTTGGGGTCCCTAAGTCAGGAGGCTGCTGGAGAAGTAGCCTGTCCCTGTCAGAAGAGCTTCCTGCCTCCAGGCCTGGATGCGATTCGGGAGAGACTTGGGGAGATCTAAACTGGTCTTACAGCCAAATTTAAGCACATCCAGGGTCACCCGAGAAGATTCCAGCAAAGGGGACACAAGTCATCTCTTCAGAACTGATTTCCTTAACACAGCCCCCTTGTTATGAGGTGTAGGCAAAAGAACACTGGGCTATGAGTCAGGAGGTTTGGAGCACGGGCCAGGACACCTGGGTTGCATTCCCAGATATGCCGCCGATTGGGACTGTAATCTCAGGCAAGTCACTTAACCTCTCAAGGGCTTGCGTTCCCCACCTGCAGATTGGGGGGGGGGGGGGGGGGGAGGTGATACTCTCTGCCCTTTCTGCCTCCTTGTAAAAGGAAGATTAGATGATACAGTGGCACAAAGGTGCCTGACACACGTCCAGGATGGTGGTGGTTGCTTTACCAACCATGACACCACCTCCCAGTGACTTACCTTAGCTGCCAGCTCCCTGCTCTCCCAGAGCAAAGACTTAAGACTTGTGCTTCTGTATGTTCCTTTTCTAGTCTGGTGCCCCCAGCTGAGAGGCTAAGTGTGACCTGGGAGCAGTGCTTTTTCTGCCCTACATTGAAAAGGGGCAGGGGCGCCTGGGTGGCGCAGTCGGTTAAGCGTCCGACTTCAGCCAGGTCACGATCTCGCGGTCCGTGAGTTCGAGCCCCGCGTCGGGCTCTGGGCTGATGGCTCAGAGCCTGGAGCCTGTTTCCGATTCTGTGTCTCCCTCTCTCTCTGCCCCTCCCCCATTCATGCTCTGTCTCTCTCTGTCCCAAAAATAAATAAACGTTGAAAAAAAAAAATTAAAAAAAAAAAAAAGAAAAGGGGCAATTGTGTCCAAAGGGAGGGGACGTGAAAATAGGGTATTGGCGAGGGGCACAGGAACCTGCATTCTTGGGAGTCTCTGCCCTCCAGTGACCTCAATTATCTGCAAATGGCCTGGAGGCAGGGCTGGGCCAGCGCCTGGATGGGAACACTGAGGCTGCAGGCTGACTCACTCGTGAGTTTCTTGCCAGTGGCAGACCCTGTCATGGTGGCCCGTGGCTTCTCTGCAGGCTCTGAGCAGAAGACCACGATTAGACAGTTCCATAGCTCTGGGGAAGGCAAAGTGGACTGTCTCCATCCTTGGGGACTGCCCATCCCACCTCCCTCTAATGCTACCAGTCCCGGATCCCTTGACTCCTCCCCACCCCGGCCCCCACCCCCCCGGAGGGGCTTGTCCATGGCAAGTGGACTGCTGGATTGTGTATTTCCACTTCCCATTTCATCCCAAGTGATCTCATGTTCCCCTGACCAATTTCTACAATCAGATTTGGGAGAGGTGTGGGGCTCGGAAAAACTTGAGTCTCTTCATGGAGCTAATGCTGGGAACACAGGGGCAAGTATCTCTTTAAAAATACTCCCTGCATAGCAGGTCACACTGGCCTGCAGCCACAACACCCGGGGCTGTGATCTCATCAAGCTCCAGGAAGCCAAACAGGGTCAGGCTTGGCTAGTCCCTGAGCGGGAGACCTCCCAAGCAAAACACAGGTGTTGCTGGTGATTCAGCAGGCTGAACCCCTCCCTGCACAAGTCTAGCTCTTGTCAGGTGTTGGATGATTCTGTGAGCTCCTATCAGTACCTGGGCAGAAGGGGGCGTGGTGCAGGCAGCGGGTGCTAGACGCTCTTTCCTTGCGCCACGTGTTACAGGTGTCGACACCACCGTTCTTAAGAATCAGGGCGAACATGCTTCCTCCCTCCCCAACCCCTGCCCACTTCCTAAGGTTGGTCAGCCATCGACCTAAATTCTCGCAGCTGTTTCAAACAGATAAGGGATGGAAGAGGAAAAGGCAGCCCCCGAGGGGCTCAGGAACCAACTGGCCCCCACCCCGAACAGCTGGGGTCTGTGGCTGCCACCAGGCTCTGGGTCTCAGCCCTCAGGATGGTCCCTTCTGGTTTGGGAACGGGTGAAGATGAAAGGGGTCCATGAAATGAGGGCGGTCATTAGGCTGTTTTATGAGTACACAGATGTTCATTACACCCCAACCCCATCATTAGAGGCTGTGGCAGGAGAGAGCTTGGGGCCCCTTCTTTATTGCAGTAGAAACCGAGGGGTTTCTCCCCTAGAAGGGACCTCTGCTTCTGCTTCTCAGCCAGGGGTCCTGCCCAGGAGAAGGTCAGTAGCCTCCATTCCAGTCCTAACTCACTCCCTCTCCTACTCCTCCCTCAACTCAAGGAGGTGATACAGGCCCTGAAAGAGCCCACGCCCAGTAGCTAGAGTCTGGAAATAGGGGCCTCTCCATCCCAGTGCACAGTTCTCCCGCCCCTCCCCCCGCCAAGCACCACTATCAGGTGGGGAGTCTTTCTGCTTCTTCCAGGAAGCCCTCCCTGCCCTCTGTAAATCCTCTTGCTAGCATGCATCACATCTGTAACTACCCCTTCATTGTGTTACTGTCAGACTGTAAACCACCCGCACACCTGCACCGCAGTTGGCACCTAGCACAACAGTAAATGTGGACTTCATTGATATCAGCCAGGAGCCAGGGCAGGTGACCTGGCAGAGAAAGAGGGATTCTCTGTGGCCCCCATCCTTCCCCCTCTGCCTTTTCCCACAGTGCGAAGGATCTGAGAAACCTGCTGCTTTCTTGAGGCCACAGTCGGCAAGTAACATAAACAAACCATCTGCCGTTGTCTAGACAGTGCCCCCACTTACCTCCCAAATGTAACCCCTTTGCACAAATCCCACTGAGCACCTGCTTGCATCTTTCCTTGCGGGCTGCCCCCTTCCTGTAGGGGAGCACCCAGAGAGAGAGTGGCGGGGCCAAACCCACTCCTGCAGGGGTCAGCCCTTCATGCATGACAGGACTGCAGGCTGGGAGGCTTGCCCCTCTTCCCCATTAGGGCTGCAAGCGCAGTGGTAATAGGCTGGAGCCCACCCTGCTGGTGCAGGCCATGGAGGCCGAATGGAGCGTGGCCAGACCCCACAGAGAGGAGGCAGATTAATCAGCTGTCATTTGCGTTCATTAAAGACCCCTTGCTTGTGCACTGCAGCCTTAGATGCCAGGGCAATTGACTGCTCACAATAAAAAGTTCTGGGGAGAAGTTTGTCTCGGCTCCCTGTGGCCTAGCCTTGGGATCAGCCTGGCATCCTAGAACCGCAGACTCCTGGGGTGGAAGGCCTCTGAGGTCCAGCCACATGGTTCAGGGATAGGCAGACCAAGCCCCAGATCCAGAAGCTTGGGGAGTCAGCAGCTGTGGAGGCCCCTTGACCCTCTTTGGGATTCTTCCCTGTTGTCACCCCATCCCCTTTCCTCCCATCTCCTCATGGCCCTGGGCACTGTCACCTGGAACTGCTGGGCCCTCCTCAAGCTTGTGCAAAGACTCATTTCAACACACTTGGAGACTGATGACAATCCCCATAGGGCAGGAAGCCAAGCACGGCAACTGCCCCAAGCCTAGCTCTCCACCTGCCTTCCTATCAGCCCACGGGGCTCAGCTGAGAGGCCCCCCAATAGATGACCACCCCTAAAGGGACAGCCTAGTGACCCGGGCTCCGCTGGCCTTGCCAGAGAGGGCTGTAGATCTCCTTTCTCTTCCCCAGGGTTATGTCAGTCCCCAAGCATTCCAGAGGCAGAGCAACTGTGAGGCCAGGGTGTTTACAGAGTTCAGTCTCGGTTGTTTTTGCATCGTAATTGCCAAGCTCCCCAGATTGGCATTTGCCTGCCGGGCACTGTAAAAGGTGACACAACAGAATGAGAGAGCAAGCCCCAGTCCTGGCAGACCTCCAGCAGGTCACATTCACATTTCCCTTGGCCCAGAAAAAGGAGCCTGGCCTGACACAGACAGGCAGGGGTGCAAAGGCCCACCACACAGGCCCTGGCATGGCCAACGAATGAGAGGGCAGACTGGCAGCTTGCCAGGGATGACGGCTTTACTTGGGCATCTCAGAGGGGGGAAACCTGAGGAAGTCACTTAGTGGCAGGCCTCCTACTAGGACCAGGGCCCTAAATCAGACCCTGACCCACACACCTGGGGAGCCTCACGCAACCCCCCTCTGGTCTACAGGCTACAGGGAAGAACAATGCTCTCTTGCCTCTTCCTTCCCTGGAGGTCCCTGAACACCTGGGGAATAAACGTTCCCCAAAGAGGGTCAGGAGTGAGGAGCATGATCAGGGAAAAAGGAGCTACCATGGGCGTGTCAAACATCCCCTGCCAGTGCCCATCAAACTGCACCCAGGTCCCCCACGCAGGTCCTCCACCAGCAGGAGGGACTGCCCTGCCCAACGCCAGAAACTCAAATGTCCAGAGCAGCAAGTGACACTGAGAGTCACTGATCTGGGGCTGTTTCTGCAACTCCAGGTGGGGGTGCTGGAGAGAGGATGTGCCTGGTGTCTTCTCAGTCCTGGCCAAGCCCCAACGCCTCCAGTCCACCCATCTCCTCTGACCGCCCAGGAGTCTGACCAGTCCAAATAGTCAGACTTGAGAGCTGGGGCCACTTCAGGACCAGTCCGTGCTGCCGGGGAAGGGTGATTCCAAAGGTTCCGAAGCCTGAAGGAGACCTGTCAGGGACAAGAGCTGGGCTCGTTCCCACCATTGCTGCCACCAGTCCAGAGACCCCAGGGAAAGTGGGCAGAAAGGTCTGAGAGCAGGACTCTGAGGCAGCGCTTCTCAGACTTTAATGTACGTATGAATCACTGCAGGTTCTTGTTAAAAGGAAGATTCTGATTCACGTGTGTCCAGGGTGGCGCCCGAGATTCTGCATTTCTGACAAATTCCCCGGGTGATGCTGCTGCTGTTCTGAGTAGTGAAGGGCTAGGGCAGCAAGGCTAAGTTCACTGTCAGCCCCTGTGGAAAGAGCAAGATGTGATTTGAATGAGACTTAGCATTTCTATTTATTGTCACACTTTCTAATGAGTACAGGGTTTCACAGAACCACCAGGTCTTGCCAGCATCTTTTCTTGCTCAGCATCCTGATCCCCAGGCTTTTTTTTCCAGAAAGTCTGTCCGTCCCTCCCTCCCTCCTTTCTTTCTTTCCTTCCTTTCTTCCTTCTGTCCTTCCCTCCTCACTCCTTTCTTCTTTCTTCTTTTTCATAAGGTCTTACCAGTCCTGGGCCCTCTGGCAAGGAAGGAGAGAGGAGGCCCCAAATTATGAATTATGCTTTATCTTCCCACTAGAACTGAGTTTGGAAGCCTAAAGTAGGGCAGAGGAGGAAGAGAAAGCAGAGAACAGAGCCCAGGAGCCTGACTCCCACCACTGCTACCTGCCTTCCCCCAGGAGGCCACAGAGGGCCCATGACTGCTGGGTGCCCCCCTCTACACTCCATGCCCGCAGCCCCCCAGCCCCATTGCCTGCTTCTCTAGGACTACCAGCTTCTCTTAGGCGGCACGTGGAGAGGGAAGAATGGCCCAGAGGCAGCTGGCAGTTTCCTGAGACAGGGTTGGGAGTGGTGAGAAACCTCTCAGGCAAAAAGAGAGGAGATAGGACTAGTGGAATGAGGAGCCAGTGGAGAAGCTGAACCAGGTGCTCTGAGAAGCCTCCCGGCAATTGTGAAGGTGGTCCCCACCCCACAGAACCCAGGGGAGCCCCCATCAAGCTCTCGCAGCCACCCCGGAGTGGTCCAAACACCAGTGCCCCCAATCGTCCATAAGCCCTGGGGTACCCTCTCCAGGCCAGGTGGGCACTAGGGGACTGCTGGGCCCCCTCTGGTCCAGCTGCCCCTGGGAAGCAAAGGTCTGACCTGGGGTCCTCGTCTCAGGTTATTGGCCCTTGCCAGTGTCTCCTGTCCTCCCTCCTGGGGTGCAGCCACCATAGATAGGCTCTAGGCCTGAGGATGTAGCTTGCTCCCTCCGGAGGGTGCAGTTTCCCAAGCCCTGTTTATTTGGGGGATTAACTACCCCCATTTCCCAACTGTTCTGCCTCTATACGGCACGGAGAGGTGAGTGGACCACCCTGCAGCTCGATGCTGGAGTGCTGGGAGGGGCAGGGTTGGTGCTCCCTGCTCTGCTGACCACCTCTCCTGCTAGGGATCCCCTTCCTTCCTACCTCCCCACCCCATTGGCCCTCACAGGGCAGCACAACAGCTCTGTTCTTACTCACAAACAACAATCCTAATCAGCCATCTCTTTGTCCTGGTCTCCTGCCAGGGGCCTGGAGATTCCCACACCCGCTTGTCCGAATCCTGCAGTCCAGGCTTTAGCCTCACCACTGGCCCCTTCCAAACGCCCCATCACCCTGGTCTTCCCATCATACTCAGCCCCTGACATCCTGACATGCCCACCAGTGCCAGGTGGCCTAGGAGAGGGAGTGTGTGTGTGTGTGTGTGTGTGTGTGTACTTTGTGAGTATGTGTGTGTGACTATGTACATGTATATTGTATGTGTACATGTACATGACTGTGCATCTGTAGGACTGTGAATATGCATTTGTGAGTGTGCTGTATGTGTGAATATGTGAGTATATATGTCAGTGTGTGAGTACATGTATGTATGAGCACATATTTTATGAGCATATCGTATTTGTGAGTGTGTATATGTGAGATGCGTGAGTGTGCATGTAAGCATGCATGTGTGTGCATGACTGTGAACATGTGTTTATGTCAGCGTGTGTGTGAGAGTGTATGTGCATAAGTGCACAAGTGCAGAGAGCTGCACAGCAACCTGCATGTGTGAGCATGTGAGTGTATGTGTATGAGTATGCATGTGTGTGTGTGTGAGCATGTGTATGTGACTGTGGACATGTGTGAGTGTGGGTGCATGTGTGTGGGTGCATGTGCATAAGGAAGCATGACAGCCGTATGTGTGTGAATGTGTGTGTGTCAGCATGTTGTGTTTATATGCGAGCGTGTGTGTGGCTGTGAACATGTATCTATGAGAGTGTGTGAGGGTATGTGGGAGCACATGTGCCTAAGTATGTGAGTGTGAGGGTCGTGTGCGAACATGTATATGTGAGCATGCATGTGGGGGGCTATGAGTGTGTGAACACATGTATGCGTGAGTGTGTGTGTGAACAAGTGTGAGTCACTGTTCTTCCCTTCTGTCTCACCCTGCCCCCCCCCACCTCCCTGCCAAGACCCAGCCTGCGAATGACCTTCAGACTTCATCTTCTCTCCCTGCTCCCTTGAAGGAACCCAGCCCCTCCTCAGCTCCTGAGGCTCCTGGGCTCCTGTCTCAGCCCCTGCCACTCCCCTTCCTCCCCACCAGTTTTGGAAAAGTCTTGCCACTGTTTTGCTTCCCTTGCTCCCATCGCCCAGCAGTTTCTGGCCAAGTTTCCACCTGACAGCAGAGCCCCAGCAGCCTCCTGCCTCCCTCATCCAGGATCCTCTGTCTGCCCCATGAGGGGACTCCCATTGGAGCCCTTCCTTCCCGACAGCTCTCCCTCCTGTCCTTCGTTTTCTCTGTCTGCGTGTGTGTGTGTGTGTGTGCGCGCGTGTGTGTGTGTGTGTGTGTGTGTGTGTGTGTCTGTGGGTGGGGGGGAAGAGAAAGGAGCGAGGAGTGAAAGAAAGAAGGAAGCCGGGCTCAGATGGTGTCATTAAGAGATATTAATGCCCCTCATCAAGGCATATTAATAAACATTATGTGTCATGCGCTCCATACACCCCGGGTGAGTGCAGACCCAGCGGGACGGGCCCACGGTCACAGCCGAGCAACCTCTGAGCCCACGGCAGAGCCATCAGCCTCATGAGACCAACCCTGCCAGGAGACTTCTCAGGACTGCCACAGCAAGAGGGAGCTGGCAGGATGGGTTCCCGTCCCCTCCCACCCCCTGCCGCCTCACCCCACCCCTAGTGGGCAGCCCCGGGGAAGGGGGACCATGATGACCCTTACACTGGGTCAGCACTGGGAGACCTGAGAATATTCCACTTCCTAATTTCATCTTTACAACAGCTCTGTGGGAGACCAGGGCAGATATCATTATCATTGCCACTTCATAGGTATGGAAACTGAGACACTGAGAAAGTAAGCGTCTTGCTCACAGTCATGTAGCTAATTGGTAATGACATTGGACTGAAGCCCAGGTTGCCCTTTCGGACGGCTGTGTTAACGACTCAGTCACTAATGCGGTGGGGCTGCTTTTAACTGTATGGCACCACTCCCCTAGTTCCTGCCGCTGCCAAAAATCAGACCACGAAGCACAACTCCTTCAGCAGAGCAGGTGGCCTCCGTCCTCCAAGTGGTGGGTCTCCTGAGGGTCACTGCTCCTTAGCAGGAAATGTCCAGGAAGATGGGGACCAGAGGGAGCTAACCTGTGTAAAGACGCTGGCGGAGTGCCTGCGCATTGTAAGCACCCGGCAAGAGGTGTTTCCCCTTTCTTTATGTGGTGACCACGACCACATAAATATTAAATTGTTGGCTCCTGAGGAGGTTTGAGCAGGCGGAAGGCCAAATGGCCCGTTCGTTTTGTTTGTTTTTTAGCATTGCAGTCTGGTGCTATAGCAGGGTGCAAAACTGGTTATTCACTGTGACAACCACAGTGGTGTTTAAAATTACATAAGGTAGTCTCTGTGTGTGTTTAAGAAGATAAGAACTAGCGTTTAATAAGATCACTAACCAAAATAGTTAAGATGAGAGGAGTTGGGGAACTAAAACTATAAGTTTCAAGAAATCAGGGAAATATGCTTACAAAGAACAGCCAATTCTCTACATGCTTCCAGATAGTGGAGGCATTCCAGAGACCTGTTGTTGATTCTGAAAGCCTCGGTTTTTGTTCCATGTATCTAGAAATGGCCATCTTCAGTCTAAACTGACATCGATGCATAATAATTACATTTAGCTACCGACTCATGATATTGCTTTCAAACTATCTAATATGTCTTGTCTGTTTCTAAGTGGAGCAGGTTCAATAAGAACCCGTGATCTTTATTCCATTTTCCTTCCCATTCCCCCTCTCTAACCCTGCTCCAGAGCTGCATCCAGAGAATCGGTGATCTGTGGTAGGCAAGGGGCAAAGAGGAGCGGATCTGCCTTCTCCTGAGGTCTAAACCAGTCTCTGAGCTTCAGAGACTGAAAGAGGTTCAGGAGTTTCCTCCACAAGAGGTCAGAGGGGAGTCCAGCCAGCGCAGGCCCCAAAAGGACCAGAGGCTCAAACCTGGTACCCGTGTGACAAGAAGCTTTGGGACCCAAATGCAAGGAAGGGAGCCATGGTGTTCTCAGAACAGTTATCTCTATACAGAATGATCTGGGGGATTCTTTTCCTTTCTAGAAATTTTTTTTCTTTTTTGTGTTTTAAAACTTTTCTACAGTGAGCATGTGGTACTTTAATGATCTGAAACAAAATTATCATTTGTAAAAGAGAGGTGTTTGCGTTTGGAGTCCCAGACTCACCTGTTCTGAATGAGGCCACAGTGGTGGAGTTCAGCCCCACGCAGCTCTGACCTGCCACGTGGGTAGTGCTCCAAAGCCCGGCCCCATCCAGACACTTTCTTGACCAGAGACAGCTCCACTGGCCCACTCTGATGACTCTCCTGGGTACACGATTGCTAAGCATATGGAAGAAGTCTTGCCTAGGGGCTGTAGACCCAAAGTGTAGGTTGCTGGTGGTTTTGATCCTCAGGAGCATTGCCTGCCATTCAAACCTAACCCCAGTTTACATTTCCAGCCTTATCTTGAGCTTCTTCCAGACCCACCTGCCCTTTTCACGTCTTGTTTGCATATTTATACATTCTTAATATAGTTCTCTCAAATTAAGCTGCCCCTCCCCTACCTGTCCACTGGAAAACTAAAAAACCCCTACACGTCCTTCAAGGCCCAGAGAGAGTACAGCCTCCTTTCAATGGATTTTCCTAATCACTACCCCCAGACAGTTACAACTTCCTTTCTCTGTGCTCCTCCAGCACTCCTCACAGACTTCAATTATTTAGGCCTATAATAGAGTTATTTCTTTGTTGGTTTACCTACCTCACTAGACCACGAGTTCCTCAATACCGTAAAATGGGTCTCATTCGTATTTCTGTCTCCAGCACAGGACTTCTCATTCATTGACTCATTTATCTAACCATCTCCCCAGCCATCATTCCTCAGGGCCAACTCCATGCTAGGTAATATCACATACACACAGGTGCGAGACACTGTGACTTATTTGGAAACCACATGCACTTCCACATAGCCTGGAACAAAGGGCCTGGACCAAAGGGTCTGGACAGCCTGCACTTTTTAAGCCACAGACAACCTTGACCTTGGCCTTGGGAAATCTTGCCTCTTAACCCAGTGTCATGAAGAACGCTGAACCCCTGGGAAAGGCTCCTCTCTCTCATCTGGGTAACCACTTACTCCAAGAAGCAGATAATAACCCCTCAGCCACACCCCACCGCTCCCCATTTTGGCATCTGGATACCCGAGGAGGTAACTGACTCCAGATCTGAAGCCAAACTAGGAGTCAAAACCCAGGGGTCTGTTGCGAGTCAGTGCCAGGATACCAAGTCTGCAGGCTACCCACTGGCACATTATCTAAAGACTGTTCACCACTCAGCCCCACTGCCCATGAAGGTGCCAGGAAGAGGACTATCAGGGCTTTGATGTTGACACTTCTTGAGGGAAACTGGGTACACAAAATAATCGGCCATCCTACACCCTGGAGTCTAGAAGCACTCAGCCCCCAAGAGGGCTCAGGTGAGTGACTCCTTCTCACCACTTCCCACAGACTCCATTTCACCTCCCTCAGCGGCCAGCCCTCCTTTCCCTGGCCTCAGGGCAAAAAAGCAGGCCACAGGATTAATTGATCACAGCCTCTCCCCTGAAGCAGGCACCGGTCTTCAGGGCTGGGTCCTCTCCAGGCTGGTGTTAGGTGGCAGCCACAGCCCCTGGAGACCTCAGAGCCCGGGAGCTGTCAGTGCCTTTTACTTACCCCTTCTTAATTGCAGAATACACAGATTGCTGGGTAGCACTTTCCAATCCTGCGCCTTTTCCTGGATCCTTTGCCACTTGGCAGCTTGCAGGCAGCTGTGCAAAACAGCAAAGGAACTTTCTCATTTGGTGCCCATGTCAGAGAGCCTGGAACTCTGTTTCCAGTTTCCCTTTTTTCTTTCTTCCCCCGCCGCACCCCAAGTACTGTTTCGTTCATTTCTCCCTTCAGTCTCCCTTATCCCCACAACATCTCTCTGTAACTCACCTTTCAAGTTCAGGACTCTTCTGACAGCGCCACCCACCCTGTGATCAAAAAGTGAAAGTTACCACTCTGACTGAGGTTTGCAGCCAGGCAGGAGAAGTGATTGAATCTTCCTGTCTAGATTGGAAGAAGTGGGTGAAGCGATTAAATCATCTCCCGCAGACTCTACGAAATGTGCTGCTGACCCTCTACCCCAGGGGTCAGCAGGCACCAGTCCCTGGGCCTCCACAAATGCCCCGGTGGGCGGACAGTTGCCTGTAGGTAATTGAAGGAGAATGAGGAAACCGGGCTGGCCTCCATGCTGGGGGCCCCACCCACCAGACCTCACAACCCGAATCTGGCCACCAGTCTCAAGAAGCCTTTACCTAAGGCTTCTCCAGGCTGGGGAAGGGGTGCCTCTGGACCCTTGATTCTCAGGAAATGTCACTCTCTGGTGTCCCCATGGACAAGAAACAAAAGATAGAAGTGACTTTCATCTAGTTGGCGCATCTGTTTGTGGTACTCCAAGGGCTTAATATATCCGGGACCTCTGGGACCTGGCCCGGAAGGGCAGAAGGATCCAGGTCCAGACAGTAGCAGTGTGGTCCCGTCAGAAGATATGGGACAGAGTCAGGAGTAGAGGCTTCTAGTCTTGGCATCAAGGCCAGCTACCCATGACACCTTAGACAAAGCCTTCATTCATCTCTCTGCTCCTTCCACAAACGTCTGTTGGACTTACTATTTTAGCGTGGGTTCCCCCAAAGCAGAGCCTGAGACAAGGAGTCTAGTGCAAGTAGTGTATTTTCAAAGGGACACAAGGAAGCACCAGCAAGGGGGAGGGTAAGAGAGCAAAAGGAAGGCACTCAGTCAAGGTTCATGAGCAAACAAGTTCCACTATGGGTACCTGGAGCCAGTGTTGAAAGATGCTGCTCCATCATTCCCCCCAAGAGGTGAGGAACTGCAGTATTTGTGCCTCATTTTCTAGCAGCCATTGGTTAGGAGCTGTTGTCAGAGGATATTAACACCCCCCACCTGCCAGCATGTCTGCCCTATTGTGCAGGTGATAAAGCAGGCTCTGGAGGCCAGAGGTGACGCTGTGACTCTCTGACTCTTGGTCACATTTCACCTTCTCTTAAGCATCTCATATGCCAGCTCCCAACTAATGTCTATAAGCCCAGAAATTCCTCCAGAGTGTCCATAGAGTCAAGCTTCTTCTCTGCATTTAGAATAATTTGTGCCTCTTCCTACACCAAGCAGTTGTGCACATACCCTACATGCACACACATGCACACATGCACACATTCACACATGCAGGTGCACACATATTGGGGACCAACTTCTAAGAAAAAAGAGGAGACTGTTCTTATATCCCGGGCATTTAAGGGTCCTACTGAGCAATCTTCCACCTCCACCTCTCCTCCCCTTGCCAGAGGATGCTAATAAGGAGAAGAGTTGCCTCCCTAAGGTCATCTAGTCTCTAACACTTAGAAGGGCCCTGGGCATCCTCCTAAACACACTGCCCTAACACCTCAGGTGTTCCTATCCTGATACCCTGAGAAAGCCATCTTGGGCTTTTCGGTGTTCTTGAGGATCAGAAACCCAACAATTTCTATGTTGTTTGTAATTTCTATAATTATTTCCTTTTTTTAACCTTAGCATTTAGACAAGCTCCTTTTGAAAATGTCAATCTGTCTTAGCTATAGTAAGGGAAAGGAGGTTTTGTCTGGGATGGGCCCATCTTAAAGAGGAGCAGCATACCTGGGGGAGGGGGAAGGCCAGGCAGGAGGGGTCCAGGTGAGGAGGCCAGGTGTCGGGGAGCTCTCAGCAGCCCCTTCCCCACTGCAGACTCTCTTTCCAAAGCTCTTGTCTGCTCAGATTTGACAGGTGTGGGATCTGTTCCTTAAATGCTAGGTTCATTGCCCACCCTCAGGCTCAGTCCTGTCTCCCTAGGAAGTGCTTAGACCCATAGATTCCCACTGCCCACCCCAGCCCCCCACCCTTGAAATATCCCAGAATCTCATCCATCCCCAGGGATTTCCAGCTTTCTAAGGTCATCTCAGGCTAGTTGTGGTACTCTAATCCATGAAGACATTTCGGAAGAGCTCATGGTTTCATGTGGGGTTGGAGGGTGGGGCAGGCAACTATTTAACCATTTCTGCTGTGGCCCCAGTCCTCCACGTGATATCTGTGTATTTTAATAATAGTCTTCCTAAAATAGTGCCTCCTGGGGAAGTGATAGGGTCATCATGACGTTGTAGGAAAAGCATAAGATGTCACTGTGGGTCAAAAGACACAAGATCTTGAGCTAGTGGGTCTCAAAGGTCCGAGGGTCTAAGGCGCCTTCCTCCTGGAATATTCTGAGATTCTCCCACTCACTGCTCTGTGGCTCTGGACAAGCACTTTGAGCTCCTTGGAGTCTCAACTTTCTCACCCTTTGAATTTGGTTTCCTAAGGCTCCTACCACGTGTTGATTATATGGTAGAAATTTTGCCCACCCCCAGGACAGACCAATGGGGGAAGGCTTATACCCAAAGGAAGCCTAGCCCATCCTCAACCCAACTTGAGTACTTACCAGCCACACTGACCACATGCTCTGCAGGGGCGCCTCTACAGCCTGGCGCTTCCTTAGAGCCTTCCTGCCCTTCCTTCTAAGGACCAGTGCCTGTCTGTATAACAAGCTCCAGAGAGACCCTGAAAACTCTGAAGCCATCAGTGCCCTCTGCTTGCGCGCCCCCAGCAGCAGCCTCAGCTGAGCTCTCCGCCAGGGGAGGCAGGCAGGAAGGACTGCTGGCTTTACTCAATGAATCGGCGGGTGTGCGGGTGTGCGTGTGTCTGTGCCAAGCTGGCCCCAGTTGATGAGAAAAGACTCCCTGGAGTGAAAGGGAGGGGTAGGAGAGCCTTTCCACCCTGATCAGGGCCACAGATCAGACTTTCCATGCTGCTCTGCACAAACTCCCTGACCTTACAGGCCCCAGCCCCCACCCTCACCCCTCCCTGCACTCACACAGAGGAGAGAGGCCTGTTTATCACTCTGGGTGGGACCCAAGCCTGTGGGGAATTGAAAAGAAACAGCCAGCTTAGGTTGCTATTGTTTTGTTTAAACAAACCGCTGGCTGGGCTGACTTGGAGAGGAGTGAGGGGGAGGCTGGGAGCACAGAGCAGGCTGGGCTGGGCCTGGGCAGCTCTGGGCTTAGTCCCCATCTCTCAGTCGCCCTAGAGCCGCCAGAGAGCTATTTCGGGAGAGTGGGTGCTAAGGCTTGGGCCCTCACGTCCTCTCCTGGGAGAGATGGGAATCAGGGGAGGGGCCTCCGTTCCCCAACCCCTTCCCTCTACCCTGGCGTCCCCTGGCTTCTCAACCCCTGGCCACACCTGGGCCCCCTGCCAGCCCTGGGAAAGACTGCCTGATACCGGGGGAGTCGGGGACCGTGCGGAAAGCCAGCCAAGGCAGAGCTGGCCACGCACGGCCCTGCTGTCCCAGGGACTAAATTTGAAGGCTGCCTGGACGCTCTGGAGCAGACAAGACTGCACGAGGGGGCTGGAAGGGTGCCAAAGGACAGAGATCTCACCTGCCCAGGGTGAGGAAAACCAAGTGGGAAGGGGGCCCAAGGTGGAGGGACCCATTCTTCTGCCGTCCTCTGCCCTTTCTCCCAACCAGGGACGAGTCTGGGGGAGGGGATATTCTGGCAAAGGAGGCCCAAAGTGAGAACGGTTGGTGGACAAGCTACAGCCCAAAGGGGAAGAGATCAGGGGGCTTCAAGAAGACGGGGTGGGGCTCTGACTTTGTAGAAGGTAACCCGCACGAGGAGCTGGGTCACCCAACTGACCCCAAGAGTCTTCACAGAGAAATGAGAGATCTCTTAGCTCTGTGCTCCCAAACCCTCATCCTGAGCACCTCTGTGAGGGGAAGGAGCAGAGGCTGCCTCAGGAGGGCTTGGTGGAAAGACAGCCAGGGCACAGTTAGGTGTTGGCAGAACCAGTGAAGAGCCATGCTAATCACCATCATTAAGGCTATAAAACCCCACACCTAGGGGCCCCGAGCTGTGGCACAGACCCAGGGGCCCTGCTCCAGTCCCTTTCATCTGAGCATCTCCCAGTCCTGCACAAACAATAATTAGCACCCGCCCCCGGGATCGCCTCATTATCCCACAGACGCGGAGCAGGGGGGGGGGAAGGGAGGGGAAGGAAGAAGAGGGAAACTGAGGCCAAAGAATCTGCCCAGAGGTTGTGGGCTGAGTCCCATCAAGAACTTGCCTCAGAATCAGCGGTCCAACCTCCTCCTGCCCTCCCTGCCCTTCTGGTTACTCAGAAGCCACTGGCCTAATATTCTGAAGGCCCCAAAGAGAACCTGAGAGGATGGGCTGGCTTAGCAAGGCTGTGAGGATTGCCAGCCCCTGCCTTAGATCTGACCAGACCCCACAGGCAGAGAGTCGTGTCCTATGCCCAGTCTAGGGGCGCAGATGATGGGAGTGCCCTTCCAGAAGTGTCCTCTCATGTTCAGGGGGTCCGTCCCTCACCCCCAGGCCACCCTCAGCGATGCCTGTGTCTGTCCTCTCTCCCTGGACCCCCTGAGGCGCCATTCCAAACCCTATAGCCGGTTCTGGCAACGCATCCCAGGAGCAGCCATACATGTTCCTACTCCTCCATCGTACTCCCTCAGGGAGAGAAAGAAGTCAGCAAAACCTACTTGGACTGAAGTGTGCTGGTATGGCCTTCCGCTGCCCCAGGAGTCTCTCACACCTGTGTCTGTCTCTCATTTCAGGGTGTTGATATGAAGAAAGGGAAGATTCAGGGCCAGGAGCTGTCAGGTGAGTATGACCCTCAAACACCCCTTGCCCCAGCCAGGGCAACGGTGATGACCACCAGAACCATAATGAAGCAACTCAATGTTGAGACTTCGCAGTGTGCAAGTGCCGGCCCAGGAGCTTATTTGTATGCTCTAATGTCATGGTCACAACGGTGCTTTGAGACCCCTGCCACCAGTATGTCTGTTTTAAAGAGAATGAAACCGAGGCACAGACCCACCTGTCCCATGTCTCATGACAGGTAAGGGGTGGGGCCAGCGTGAAAGGCAAGGGTCTTCAGGAGAGTGACTGGCAGAGATTGGTGGGTCCCTCTCTTCCCTCCGCCTGCCTTCCTGTGTTCCCCTGTACCCAGTCCCATGTGATCTCCTCGCATGGGGCTCTGTAGACCCCCCGGAAAGAGCTGAGCAAAAAGATAAATGAGCCTCATAGTTCTGTGAGGCAACGCAGGCCAGATAGGCCTGGCTTCAAATCCCAGCTCCACCGTTTACTGTCCACCTGACTTTACCTCTCAGAGCCTCAGTCTCCTCATCCAGAAAATGGCGACAACACCCATCTTACCAAGTTGTGGTGAGGGTCAAGGGGATATCACAAGGGAAAGCACTTAGTCAGGGCCTGGCACCAAGAAGTGGCTCGCCATGTGTATCCCTTCCCTTCCTCCTCATAATCTCTCGCCTCTACTCTTGGAGGGGGGATTCTTCAGGAAAGCCCTGGTGAGGGGGGTTCAGTCTGCCATCTCTCCTGAGGATAAATTCCCAGTTGCACCGAACCAGTGAGTTCCAACCACAGCCTTATGCACACAGACGCACGGACACCAGTCTTTGGCAGCGTGGCACACACCCACACTTCAGTGAGCTTGGCACCCAGCAGCCCCTGGCCTTGCTCAAAGCTGACCCGGCCGCATCTGCCCTCCACACACCATGCACGTGAAGGACGCACGCTGGCACCCACCTATGCTCAGCAGCCTTTCTCAGCGTTGGCAGTGTTTGTGAAAAAAAAAAATAATGACCCACATCTGCACACACACTGACGGAGACCCTCCAAAAACAGCCTCAGCGAACAAGCACACTCTCCCAGCACTCGCACCTGCCCCAGCACAGACCCCAAGTCATACAAACTCACAGGGCTCCTGGCACACCCTGTGCTGTGCTCACTCTGAACACACGCACGCGTGCACACACGCACACGACACACGCGTGTATCAGATCTGCAACCAAAAACTCAGGGAGAGATGAATAGTCAGGAATTCCCCTAGCTGCAAGCATGCTGGAGGCCCCAGTGGCCGGAAGTGCACCATGAGGAACAATTCCAACAGCTCCAAATGGCGAGTCCCTCTTGTCTAATGACCAGGAGAGGGAGGTGACCATAAAGAACCAAGCTCCCTCCCACCAGCATCCTCGCTGCAAACACTCCATCCCCACCCACCCCCAGGAAGATTCTTGGCTCTTTAGAAAGGGAGATGAGGCGAAGGGGAGGAGGCAGAGGCACACGGTTTGGCAGGAGGCCCCACTGGAACCAACCGCAAAAGTCTGGCCCATAAAACCCCTGCATAGACTTGGGGAAAGAATGAGAGATGTCCCCGCCCCACTACCCCCCTACCTTAGAAAAAGATCTGCCTCCTGCACCGAGGGCAAAGGGGAGGGAGATGGGCCTTCTCCTCCGGAAGAGCCTGAGTGGGCTCCCAGTGCCCCGAGCACCCAGATCCTACACTTCCATGATCAAACCTTTGAACCGAGTCCCACCCACCCCCGTAACCACTTCCAGATCCTCCGGATCCAGCCAAGAAATTGGCTTCTTTGGGAATTGAGTTCATAAGGAAATGCTGAAAAAATAAATAAAAATCCGCTGCCAAACACTCTCACAGAGGAAGATGGGTTTCTCTTGAGGCAGGAAATCCATCAGGATAGACTAAAACAGCAAAGGGATAACACCAACACCCACCAGCCAAGTAAGGCCCAGGAATCCCACCAGTGCCCAAGACCTTCAAGCAGCTCACACCTCCTCCTCCTCCTCCTCCTCCTCCTCCTCCCACCACCACCCAAAATAAGGTGTTTCCTAAAGGAAACTACTGAAGGTGAGATCCTGCGAAAGATAAATCCTAGTAGTTTGCAGTGGGGTAAGGCCCCGGCTGGGACCCCAGGAAGGTCAGTGGGGACCATGGAAGGCATAAAGAATTATCTTGAGAGAAAAGAGCCAGGGGGCTCTGGGCTCTGTGGGGTGTGGGGCCCATCCTCTGTCCTTCTTCTGCCCCTAGCCTACCAGCCTCCCTCCCCACCAGCACAAAGTGGCTTCCACCGCTACCAGTTCTTCGTCTATCTTCAGGAAGGACAGAACATCTCTCTCCATTCCAAAGAAAACAAAACTCGAGGTAAGGCCTCCCCATCTGTCAAAGCCAGTGTAAATTCTGGGGTGGAAGTGGATGCTTTGTGCATTAATGGGGAAGCTGGGACCTTGACTCCTTACCCATGAGATTTGGAGGCCGGAGTCAAAGGGTAGTGTTTCTTGAAAGTAGACTGGAATGAGTGTCCTAAAGATTTTCACATCAGATGTGTTCTCCCCTCATACGTAAGTCCCGCAGATCACGATGGTGGCTTTAGCTGGCCCGGAGCCAGGTAGAGAACCATTTCCCCCATTCAGCCTTGAATGGCATGTGCAGGCAGCTACCCCACAGCACTCCTGCAAGTAATTGTACGCTCTAATTGAGTCTGATCTGGGCAAGAGGGCCCTGGAATGCCACCCTGCCAGTCTGTCTTCGTTGGTCATTAATTGTTCTGTCTGCCCAGTATTGCCACAGTGGTGGGGCAAAAACTTCCCAGCCATAACCCTTCCACTAGCTTCTCTGAGCAGCCCTTCTGGCCTCCTGGAGAGGATCCACTCCCCGTAGCCTCCTGATGCCTAACTGAAGGTGGCCTTGGTCCCCCTCCAACCAAAGCTGGGGAGCAGGAAGGAAGACTCATGGACATCTGGACACTGCCATGCCTCAGGCGACTCACCTGACCCTGTGTGAGCCATGACCCCTCACTGAGCTTTAGATTTCTCTCCAGGAAAATGGGAAATAAAGTAATCTCTGTGCACTCTATCACCTCCCCCATTTGGGGGAAGGGAAGAAAATGTGGAATGCACAGATGCCATCTTGGGAGTGCAAACAGCACATCCCCCAGGCTGGCAGGAAGGTGAGTGGGCGGGTGGATGTCATCAGCCATTTGCTCTCACCCAGTGACCTTGACCAACTTCCACCCACTGGGAAGCCAGGAAAGGTATTGTTACATGCCTGTTGCCCAAAGGCCCCAGAGGAGAGGAAAGTGGAGCCCCGAAAGGTATTGGTTGAGTGAAGGAGGCCTTCAGGTGTGCTGAGCAGGAGCCACCAATCACAGAAGGCTCCGGGCTGCCCTGAAAGCAGAGTTGGTGCAACCTTTCCGCTGGTGAACCCTCCCCAGGTGCCCTCAGCGTCTTGCCAATCTGTAAATCTGTTTTAAACCGCTTTCCCAAAGACACGCTTTCAAATTTGGATACAGAGAGAAAAGGAAAACAATAATGTGTCTTGCCCAAGCCAAGATGAATTTCTCCAGTTCCCTGGATCACTCTCACCAAAGACATCATGAGCCCCCTTACACCAGTCCAGGCACTGTGCTTTCTGAGGGCTGAGAACTGGCACCTGAGCCCACGACGGTCCCCCAAGAGTACAAGTCTCACAAAGTAAAGCATGCCTGAGTCCCACTGTTAAGACATCAAGATCACAATGCCCCCACCCTGGGCTAGGATAGTGCTCAGACTGTCCCCTGAAGGAGGCTCCGGCAAGATCAAGTGCTTTCTGAGGGGCGGGGTGGGAGGGGAAGGAGAGAGCAGTAGGTGAAGCCAGGAGGAGCATGAAAGGGGGCAAAGGGAGAAAGGAGGTGCCTACCGCAAAGACACTTGCCGTCCACCGTGGCTGGGGTCCTCAGGTTCCATCCTAGCCCGTCCTCCAGAAAACACAGTGGCTGGTGTGCCCTTCCTGTGACACTGGCAGCAAGCAAGGAAGCTCTAAACCTATGCGGCCTGACACCCACCATCAGTCCCTTTGAATCTTTGCCAAAACCACAGTTTCTTGTGCACACCCCCCTCCCTTTACGTGAAAACTTAGGAACTGGACTCCTAAGTTCTGGGCAGGGTCCCTTGGCTTCTGTGCCATTCTGCTTGCCACCAGAAATGGAGGTGGGAAAATCGTCCTCCCAGATGGGCCATCATAGGACACCTTCCTGTGTCTAGCACTGTGCTAGGGGCTTAGGAGAGGATAGGATCCCATAGCACAGGGAACGTTCCCTGCCCTCAGGGGGCTTACAGTCTACTTTGAAAACACTTAAATAACAATGCAGAGCAGCTTCTAATTAAGCACTTAATTACGTGTTTCTGGCTGTAAGGACAACGGGAGATCAAGTGGATTTAGGGATAGTCCATACCTTCCTAAGATCCCCTTCTCTTCCAGAAGACACACCCTCTTCAGCCGGGAATAGTGCAAAGGTATTTTACTGCAGGGTGAGGAAATCTGTATTTGCAGTCTCCAGCTAGTGATTTGACTTTTGAGCAATTCAACTACCCTCTCTGAGCCTCAGTTCCCCCATCTAGAAAATGAGGGGTTGGATCTAGATGATCTACAAACCTATATGGCCCTGAGGCTACATGGAAGAGGTGCGGCATGGGCTGGGCCTGGGAGAAGGAGGCCATTTGAATCCTTGAGTGAAAGAGAAAAGGCGCTCTGGGCTGGAGAACCACAGATGCAACGATTATTTTGGAAAAGTGAGAAGGAGCACCCCTTGTGAGGAGCAAGCCCAGCAGAGGCCTGACCTTGGTGGGTGCCGTGAAGTGCCGGTAGGTCTTGCCCATGGGAGAAGTAACACACGGCAACCCATCTTTAGAGGTGACTACGCTGGAGTGGTGGGCAGGCCGGAGAGGAACAAGGGCACAGGAGACCACCAAAGGTGCGGAGATGCGTGCCCAGATGAACCCACGGGGCGTGGCAAATGTAGAAGCCGCCCTTGCACACTGTCAGAAGTCCAAGGCCAGGCGCTCTCTGAAGCACCCGCACAGCGCTTGGGGACTCGTGGAGCCCCAGGCTGGACCAGCCCCCAGGAGACCAGGATATGGAGCCAAGGAGCACAGGCCCTGGGGCTCACTTTGGTCTAGTTTTCTTTCCATGGGAAGGCGTCCTCGGAGGAACAGGGGAGTCCTAGGATATGTGTGCTGTAACCAACCACTTGTGTTTTCTGGATGCACAGGCAGGAACAGCTTCCAGAGACTGGAAGGGAAAGTGGGTTTGTAAGAGCCAGGTAGAGAGGCATCCATGAAGGGTAGTTGACTTGAGCCAGTCCTACTGGATCCTTTCCTCCCTAGGACTTAGGCGTGGATGACAGTTTAGGTTGAGAAGCATGTGCGACATTATTCTAGTTGAATTTGTAGGACTGTGAGGGCCAGGGAACATTGCTCAGTGCCAGGGGCTGAAACCCTCCGCAGGGTTTCTCTTTATTCCGTGACCTCAAGACAACATCTATAGGATCAACAAATGGGAGATCTTGACATCCATGTGTCACCTTGGACAAGCCACCTCACATCTCTGGGCCTCAATTTCTATATCCTCAAGATAAGGGGTTGGACTAGTTGGGTCTACCACTGAATGACCCATAACAGATTTGCTCCCAGCTTACCGAGTTCCCCCCACCTTGGAGTTCCGCGGGACAAGTGCAGGGAGCAAGTGACAAGTCTTGAAGAACCTATCCAACTCCACACACTTCTGGATGGAGGCCTCCAATCAGATATTGGCCTGCCAGGACCACAGCACAGGCCCTGGAAGGGCAAGCCAACTTTCTTCTAGTTTATGAAATCCTGCCTTCCTATTCCTCCTGCCTTTACACAGCTCCTTCTCCCCACCATTTTCCCCTCCATGCTGGGCACGATTCACACATGCCCTCTGCATTTGTTGGGATGACAGTAGGTGCCGAATGTGTGTGAGGCAGTGTTCTAAGTGCTGTGGGCACAGAATTGAGCCATGTGGACCAGGTCCATGTTCCCATGGATGCATGGTGTCACCCAGTGTAACCCTGTGGACAGTTGGGAGTTCACAGAGCTAGTGAAGGGAGATAGTCAGATAGCTCAAGCATGACCACATCCCAAACAGGGAACAAGAGTGAAGCTGAAAGAGCCTGACCTGATGCCCTCTGACCATGGCTGGCCCAATTTCACTGACATTTGTCCCAAAGGCCACACCGCCCCTTCCTAAATTTGGGCCTGTAACACATTGGACTTGTACCTCTGTCCAACCCCTCTCACCCAGCTCTAATCCCTCTCCCCTCCACCTTGTATGCCCAAAGCCCAGTCTGGCCTCTGGGCTCATCTGTGATTCATGATGGTTTGCCTGCGCATCGGCCTCACAGCAGCCTTGGATTCGGCAGGTGGCTTCCACGTTGTAGAGGAACCAACCGAATGAGTTGAGGGGCCATATCTGAAGAGAGCCCGCAGACAGCGCTGGTTCGCACCTCATCCATGCACCCTTCTATACCACACGCTGCCACATGCCCACTAACTCCTGCTTAGTTCCCATCAGTGCCCACCGTGCTCCCCCTTTGCCTGCTGCTGATCAGGGCACACCATTTCTCCCCTTCCCCAAGCCTGGTGGCCCCACCCCCCTGCAGAATACGAGTCTTGCTGATGGCCCCATGGTGCCTTCCCCCGGGGGGCAGTCTTCTCTCAGCTGACAGGACCCTGCCCTCCCCTGCTGCTGTCCGTCTCCATACGCTCTTTAACACTTGGTTTTGCCTGCTTAGTCACCTGCTTTTATCTCTTTTGTATTACTCAATCATTTTTCACTTGCACAGGCCTCACTGCCATCATGAGACTATAAATTCCTTGAGGGAAGAGCTCACCTCTGCCATATGTTTCCTTTTTACCACCTGTCCCTGTGCTCAGCCCCCTGTGAACTTTCAGTCAATGAGGATGTTTGTGTATGGGACACACCCATGTACACACACACACACACACACACACACACACACAGCTGCACGTTCTCACACCCCCATATTCAAGTCATCATCAGCTTCCTTTAACACCCGGAAAGACAGCCGCCCCTGTGAGCACCGTGTCCACAAATGAGTTTTGGCATTCACATCCTCCTTGTCCCAACCAGGTGGGCAGGCAGGACCACTTGTGCCCAGCCTCTCCACCAGCCTGCCCTGCTCCTCCCTGGCTGGATCCTGTAGGGCGACCAGGACAGTGGCCATTCCTTCCGCCAAGCGAATAAGGAAACTGACGCCCAGAACAGTGAGTGGCTTGGTCAACCAAGGGTCCACAGTTAAAAGCAAATTACCTTTCTTCTGACTCCTGGGGCGAGGCTCTTCGCTCCTATCACTCACTCACCCACATTCCTCACCCTCACCCCTCTGTCTCCTCACCCAGACCACCTGGGCCCTGGTGTGGGGACGAAGAAAGAGCAAGTCCATCTTGAAGTCCCGAGTGTCCTTGGCCAGCAGCAGCAGCCACCCAAGGCAGCGTCCCCTCACACCCCCTCCCTGGAGAAGGTGATAGCCAAGCAATGTGTAGACACTAAAAGTCCTGCCGAGCTATGGCCTGTGTGGTGCCACACCTCAGCCACCTGGCCCAGAGGTGTCACGAGCCGTCCTCACGGCCTCAAGCTCCTCTCTCGAGTGAGTGGGGGAAATCCCCTCGCTGCCCCACAAGATGACATGCCAAAGCTTGTTCCAGAAGCATGTCCAAGGCGGTGAGCCCAGGATGGTGCCACAGCGCCAGCGGAGCTAACGGGCCACACCAGTCTCGGACGCCACCTCACCGAGGCAGCCTTGGAGGCCTGCAGAGAGACTGCGTCTCTGGGAGGGGTCCTTGGGTTCTGGACCAGGCAGCCATAACCCACTCCCCAGCATCGCAGACACCTGAACTGAGCAGCTCCTGGGTGAGCCACCCACCCATAGAGGTCAGAGAGGAGGAATGGGCTGAGGCTTGCCACACGGTGGGATTTAAGGCTTGCTTGTGGCCTCTAAAGGCCTGAGGGGCACCATGGGTGATTGAAACAGTAGGCACTGTGGGGAAATGTTGGAAAACACAGGCCAAGGGCAGGAGTGCAGCAGAACTCCAAGAAGTGTCAACAGTAGGAGGCATTGATGTAGAGGAACTGAGGCTGGGAGAAAATCCACAGGCCTGGTGGCAGTGAGCTAGAAGTACATGGTATATAGGCAAACGTAGAAGGAAGAGTGCCCTCCCTGCAGACCATCCCCAAACACGCACACAGACACACACAAACACACACAGCCCACTGCAAAACAGCCCCTACCCCCTGCCATGACCTCCCATGGTGGTTCACCTGGCCAGGCCCCAGAACCCACCCCCCCCCCACCCCCTGCCCCGGGCCCAGCCCCTGAATCACTGTGTGGGCTTGTGTCAGGCAGTGGGGCCCCACCCACCTGGCAGAGCGGGTAGGACTGGGGGCCTGGCGGCGGCCCAGATGGGGCCATCTTGGGCAACTCTCAGACAGGCACCCTGGCTAGGAACTGCCTGCAACCTCCACAGGCCGCAGGCAGCCCTCTTCAGGAAACACGCCCCAGTCAAGCCAAACATCAGTCGTCCAAAGCGGTATTGAACAGATCAGCAGGAAACCACAGATAATCCCCAAATTTCACCCAGAGTTCCAGCCAGCCACCACCAGCAAATACTGGAATGGAGCAGCGGAAGCTTAAACTGACAGCTTTGAGCCTCCTCTCTTGCTCCCTTCCCCACCCCCAGCCCCAGCCCCAGCCCCAGGACCAAGGGGGGCATCCTGGGTGATCCATTTCCCCGGGTAATTAGGAATTGCACTTCGACTCTCCAATCCTCCCGAGTGCTCCAGAGGAGCTGGGTGACCGCTCCCCACCTCGGAACCCCCCCCCCCAGCATCCCCACCCTCTCACTCCTGCCAAAGTCAAAGTGGTCCCCTCTGCCCCATGCCTCTCAAGCCAGCAGGATCAGCCACTCAGCAAATATTCTCCAGGAGTAATTGGATGTGATGGAACGAGGGCTTTTCAGCTCCTGAGTGGAAGTCCCTGGATGTCATTTAGTGGCACAAAAAATAAGAGGCCCAGGCCTCCCGCCTACCACCACCAGGACATCATTAATCTCAGCAGAAAGGCATCAGTGCCTCTATCACTGCAGCCAGCCCTGCGAAGAGCCAGACAAATTACAGACCTGAGCCAGGCACACGATGGGACGGTTATTAGGCTGGCGTTCAATTTTTGTTTTTTCTTCGGGGCCACTGTCCCCTAGGGGGAGAGTCAGCGGTGGGGGACAGGGAAGAGGGTGGCCACTTTGGTTAGATACATCTCACCCGCCTTGGGAGACAGGGCCACTAAGTGCCAGTAGAGGCCCCAGCAGCTCAACTCACAGAACAGCTCAGAGGAGGCCAAGCCCAAGTCTCAGGACCCCGCCCCCTTGTTCTCCAGCCACAGGAGTGGAGGCCTCCCTCCCAGTGGGGGCTTCCCAGCCCCCACTTGCCAGGCTGAGCAGGAAACACTTGAGGGCCCCAGGAGGACCAAATGGCAAGTCAGGTGGGAAATGTCCCTGGGCTACAGGCAGGACACACAGGAAACACTGCCCTGTGCTATTGGGAAGGCCTAAGAGTAGGTCCGCTGAAGAGACGAGGGCGAGGCTAAGGATGGGACCCCATCCGCCAGGAGCTGCAAAGCTGTGCTGCTGGCCAAGAGAAGGCCTGAGAAGGCCTAGCTTGTTACTAGTCCAGGGTTCATTGTCTTCTGTTATAAAACCGTTGAGGACAGGAGCAGGGCCTCCATCCAGTATACCCCCCCCCCCATGCCTAGTGGACACCGGGCTGCGGCTCCCAGTTGGGCTGTCAGTCTCCCCTCAGCCCAGAGTTCGCACATTCCAGCAGAGGAGTTGCCCATCGCATGCCCACAAGTCCTCCGAGGGGGAGGGGCTGGCCTAGGAGAATAATTTCTCAGTCCCCCACAGACTGGGGAAGCTGGGGGCAGAGAGTGACTACAGGACCTGCCCCAGGACAATTCCCACACATTCCAGCCATTGCTGCCCCTGGGACTCAGGGGCAGAGGATGAGTAACTGAAAGCTTGGAGCCCCTCTCCCAGGTGTTGAAGACACTGTCTAGGGGAGATCAGGCACACAGTAGTGGCTCCGAAACCTCCCCCACCTCTGCCCCACAGCTTTAGGTAAGCTGACCCAGCACTCGCTCCCCTTGGCCCATTTGTGGAACATCTGTAACATCTAACATCCTTCATCGCCAACATCTTCCCTATCAGCCCCAACCAGTGGGTAAGAGATCAGCTTCTAGTTTTTCGGAATGAGAACGGTGTGCCCTACGGTTGCGCAGGGAACAATGGGCACGTCACATGCAGCAGCCCCGCCCTGAGGAGACCCGGCCTGTGTTCCAACCACTGGGTGGTTCAGGAAACAGGCGTCAGACATCCTCCTCCTCTCTCCCTCCTGCCACAGAGCCCTTTGCAGTACGCTCACTACCCCTGCCCTGGACCCAGGAAGAGCCCATCCTGGGTGGCCCCAGGGTCCAAGGGGGGTGGCCTGAGCACAGCCAGCATCACCACCCTCTTCCTGCATGGCAGCAGCTTCTCTGCAGCTCCAGGATCGGAGCAGTGCCATACAGGATGGGACTTTCCTCCAAATGGTGACCACGAAGCCACAGCCTCCAAGCTCCCCATCTCTCCACACACACACACACACACACACACACACACCCCTGAGGGCCTGACTCACCCCTCTTCCTTCTAGAACTTGCAAAGGGTCAGTTCCTCTTGCCCTTTGTGGCAGGAAACGGGGGCGTGAGGAGTCACAGCCAAACCAGGGGAGGAGGCAGCAGGAGGCTAGCAGCCAGCAGCCTGTACCCACTCTCCTGAGGGACACAGGGCCTGGTTGGAGGAGCTGCCTAAGAACCACAGTGTTGTCGGACATGTGACCGGGAAGGAGCTGTGAGGCTCCCAGGGCACTCCAAGCTCAATCAAGAGAAGTCCTCTGAATTAGGGAAGGGCAAGTCTGCAGCAGGGGAGCGAGGTCTCCCTCGGGGTGCAGGGGATTTCTTTCCACCAACTTGCCCTGATCTCGTGATGAGAGTTTCAATTCCCTCCTGGCCACCAAGGTTTCTTCCTGCCCTACTCAGTGGGGAAGGCCCCCTTGTCCCCATGCCTGCCACACACCAGTTCACCCATGAGCCCTTTTCCTGGCTTGCACATGCATAGACATGCATGCATGTACACGCATACACACCTGCACGCACTTTCCCAGGCTCCCTGGGTGTGAAGGCCACCAGGCCAGTGCCTCCCCACCTCGCCTCCTGGTGGAAGACCCCACAGCACTCAGTTGCCCACCTGTCACCCAGCAGCAGCCTACCCCCAGAAGAGACTCTCCCAGGGCCCAGCATCTCTCCCGAATCTGAGCATGGAGTCACCAGATCGGACCTAAGGGAGCATGAAGAGGCCCTTCCCTCCATCACTGCCCCTAAGAAGCATTCTCACCGGAACCCCATCTTGTGCCCCATCCTCCCGTCTGAGCACTGGGGATAAAAATAGTCTCCCCTTATGAGGATTAAGTAAGCGTATGAATATGCGTGGAGTTTCTGGCACATAGGAAGCGCTATACAGATGTGTTATTACTATTATTATTTGCATTATCCTTATTATTGTCTTGTTTCTTTGGATTAAAACATTTTGGTTTTCCTTGAAAACCTCTTTGAAATGCAAACATCCCCTGCGGGGTGGTGTGGGGAGGAAAGGATGATAAGTGGAGTAACAGCACATCAAGGGACTTGCTTCCTTCCTTGTTAAAAAAGGGTAGTGGGTGGGGGTACCTGGGTGGCTCAGTCCAGGGTGGCTTAAGTCCAACTCTTGACTTTAGCTCAGGTCATGATCTCGTGGTTCATGAGTTTGAGCCCCGCGTCGGGCTCTGTGCTGACAGTGCACAGCCTGCTCGGGATTCTCTCTCTCTCTGTCCCTCCCTTGCTCTCGCACTCTCTCTCAAAATCAATAAATAAACTTTAAAAAAAAAAAAAAAAAAAAAAGGTAGTGGGTCCAGACAGAGGACCACAGGCGGGTAAATGGGCAGCTCTGTCCAGGCTGCAACCCTCGCCCCTGCGCATTAAAGATTACTCTCCTCCACCTGTCCACTGCCTAGCTCTGCTCCAGGCAAGGTCTTCCTTGAGCACTCCCTCCACTCAGGGAAGGGTGGTCGATTTACCCCTCACACACCAAAAAGAAAAAAATACAGGATGCCCAGTTAAATATGAATTTCAGGTAAACAAGGAATGAATTTTTGAGTAAGTTCCATGAGTATGTGGGACATACTTACAAATTAGTTGTTGTTTCTCTCAAATTCAGGTTACAGTGGGCATCCTGTGTTGTAGCTCGCAATCATGCACAGAGGGTGCCTGAGGCCCAGGGTTTGGGAAACAGAGCGTGGGAATATGCTTGTGACCACTTTCCGCAGCTTCTCCCCAGTGCCCCGGGCTGCGCCCTCCTTGCCCTGCTGCTAGGCCTGTCCACACTTGCCCCAGAAGAGGCCCCTCCCCCCCCCCCCACAACCCTGTGCTCTCTCTCCTTGAGGAGCACCTGGGCACCCGCCCGGGGACTTCTTACCCATACTGCAGGATCCAGGTGCTCAGGAGGAGGGAGAGCCCTAGCCATGTGCCCTGCCCCCCAACCTCAGCCACAGCCAGGGATCTGGGGAGGAGGTTGAAAGACTGACGCAGACACTGGGGCCGGTCTCAGCCCCAGCAGCTGGGGTGACCACGTGTGAAGACAAGAAGCCTTTAAGGCCTCAGTCTTGGGGTGAGGAGAGCCCGCAGAAAAAGAGAGGTGGGTGGAGACAGTGGGTAGCCCACCCAATGGGGCATCTTTCCGCATGTGAGAAGGCAGAGTCATGCCAAATAAAGGGCCCTGGGGAAGGAAACCAGTCTAGATTCACTCCTCATTGTTCCCTGGGGAATAGTCTCTTCCCAGACACTCTGCTAATATCCAGCTAGGAGCCAGAAGCACCCGGGCACTCTGCCCCCCACAGCCCAACGACCAAGGTCCTTACTTGCTGAGGCCTCCACGTCCTCAGAGCGGCCTCCCTGTCAGGCCCTGCCGCTCCCAGGCCATGGTTCTCTCTCACGGCTGTCTGTCCTTCCTCTGGTCTGTCTGTCCTTCCAGGCAATTGGAAAATGGACAAATTCCTGAACCGCTTCCACCTGAGTGAACCCGAAGCGAGCACCCAATTCATGACTGAAAATTACCAGGACTCCCCAAATTACCAGCCTCCCGCAAGAGGAAGCAGTGAGCCCACGGACAAACCCAAACAGAGTTAACTGCCGGCCAGACATCAGGCTTTGTGTTGCAGGTGTGTGTGTCCACAGTGCCCATCAGTGATGGTCTGGGCATGGAACCCCTTCTCTCCCAAATTAAAAAAAAAAAAAAAAAATCATCCAGGGCTTACTGGCTAGATGTGTTGCTTCCTAACCTGTTCTCTTTCAAAAACTAAGAAGAAGAAATCAATCGATGTCCAGCACTAGGAACCTGGGGCTTTGCTGTAAATGCAAGTGTGTGGGGTGCGGGTGGTGCTGGGATATAGATGGATAGGAAGTGGGGGTCCCTAGGCCTCACCTGTCACTGAGGCACTGTGTGACCTGGAGCAAATCACCTATCTTCTCTAATCTGCTTCCTCTGTTGTGAAATCGAGGTAGGAAGGAGAGTTGGGGCAGTTGGTTTGTCACCATGGTCCATTCCAACTCTGACAATTCAGCATCATTCATTGAACAGGTATTGGCACCGGGTATGTGCCTGACCTCTTCCACTAGATGCTGGGGATACATATGGGAACAGGGTAGGCAAAACCTAAGGCTTGCTTCATGGAGCTTACAGTCCAGGATGGGAGGGAAAGGTTCATCAGGTGACCACAAGCAAATTACAACAAATGTGCCAAGTGCTATGAGGGCATGAGGGGACCTGCTTTGTGGTGGACGGGGCATAGTCCAGGCTCAGGTGAGGCCTGTCAGAGGAAGTGGTGTTTAACTTCAGAGCTGAAAAGTGTGGTAGGGGTTAACTGAGAATGGGGATGGGTGCCGGAGACCGTGCCAAAGAGAGGGAACACTGCCTCCGAGCTCCCGTGGCTGGCAGGGGCATGCGTGGCATCTTCCAGGACCGTAGTGTTGCCACCTGGACAGATGGGCAAAGACCATGCCATGCCTCGCAGCCATGCTAAAGTTTTAAAGTGTACTCTCAGAGCAATGGGAAACCACTGAACAATAAAATAAGTAGATTGGAGGGGAAGAACGAGTACAATCTGATTTGTGCTTTCAGAAAACTTTGAAGAAACTCCCTCGTGTCTGCAAGGAAAGGATTTTCGCCCCCTAACTCCCCTGGATGTCCTCTGAAGGTCCCGTGGCTTTCCCACCCAGGGTCCCCTTGGAGGTACCTCTTTCGCTACGGTCTCATTCCCAGGCTAAACTCAAGTTCCTCGACTCCCCCACCCCCGGCTCCAGTCCCCTCAGCACCCCCACCCCCTCACTGCGCCTCCACACTCAGTTTCCCTCCAAGAGTTAATAGCCCCCCTCTCCTTGGCCAGAATACAGCAATGTTGGTGATTCTTGTGTGCAAGGTGCCTTGAGATCCCCAGATGAAAGAGGCAGGCTGCAGCTGGACAGAGGGCTGTTGCCTTCTTAGAGCCATGCCCCACATTAGCTGGAAGGCAGAGGGGCCCCGGCCAGCCACTCAGCCCAGCTGAGCACATCTTAAGTAGTTGGAGGATTTTAGTGGTGAGGCTCTGAAGGACGAGATGAGGTGGGAGACTGAGGTTGTGAAGGGAACCGGACCATGCTTCCTCCCACCATTGATGGATTTAGCTCCCATCTGGGTGATGGACACTAAAGTCGTGTTCTGTCGAAGGGCCTTCTGATGCCAGCCCAGGCAGTAGGAACTCCCCGTTCTCTTCACCTTGGCAGGCAAGCTTGTCGGCAGCGCTAAAAGGAGAAGCAAAGGGAAGTGTCCATGTGCAGTGTCACAGCAGGCAGCCTCGGAAGGGACACTCTGGGTGTGTGCGTGAACCTCACACTCCTGAGCCCTTCTCCCTGCAGCCCCCACCCCACCAGGCCTGGAGTGTAATTGGCAGCTCCCGTTGGTGCCCAAGGCCAGGATAAATAGCAGGTCAGCTTGCTAGAGCAGCCCCAAATCGAGACACATCCTCCCCTCTTCTGCTTTTAATTCCTTGTGGCTAGCATGTTTATTTTGGGTGAGGAAAAAAAATCGGATGTTTATCCTTCGAGGAAATTATCGGCTTGCTTTCCTTCCTCCCCCCCCCCCCTTCTTTTCTCCTGGTTTTTTGGGCTTTGAGTTCAACTGCAGGAGAGACCCCCACCCTCCTGGCCCCAAAACGTGAAAAAAGAACAAAGCTGGCCCAGGCTCTAGGCTGAAGCCAGCCCTGCCAGATGGCCCCTGAAAGCCACGGAGAAGGAGGTCCAGTGCCAGGAAAGGGAAACCTAGAGGCCAGGGACACCTTGGAAAAGTCACCCTTGACTCAGTTCTCTGCCTGCACAAGACTTTGGGCCTCTTCCCCCTTTTCTTTTCACTGCCTCCTCCAGGAAGAAACAAAATGAGCACGTAGATTGCTTCGAGATCTCTAATGAAGCAGTTAAGAAAGATGTAAGGGAGCATTAGTGAGCCCTTTGCAGGGGTAGGAGAGCTGACATTATTATTATCATCATTATTATCAGATAGTGTTTGTTGAGCACTTTCTGCATGCCAGGCACTGTGCCCTAACAAGTGGCATCGCATTTAACGCATTCCTGCCCTGCTTCCCTGCCTTCACGCAGATTCTCTCCTTCCGTTGTCACAACCTAATAATGTAGCTGTTGCTCTTCTCATTTTATAGATGAGGAAACTGACATTCTGGTAAGTTGAGGAACGCACTCCCTGTTCCGTAACTAGTAGCACTGGTGTTAACTTAAGCCTTCTCACGCTAGGTACTCAGAGATAAGCAGTACTCTCATTTTACTCTCTGAGCTACATAAAATAAAGGCCAGACCTTCTATTTTTTCAGAAGTGAGGTGGGGCAGAAGGAAGGCTGGGAGTTTCAGAAGAATTTAAGGGGAGTCTCACCCAGCATCTTGCCTACCCCCAGCTTCAGCTATTCTAGACCAAGTGTGATTTGTGAGGAGGGCCAGCTCCTAGACGCTCATGGCAACGGCCTGGTCTGCCACCCACCCCCCACCACCACCTGCCCGAGGCAGCTACCCCAACGGTTTACCGCCCTCAATGCATTGAATCACCCGTCTCCCCAAGAACCTCACCCGTGTGAAACCTGCTCTCAGGGAAGGGAGAGACGTGGAAAAGGAGGGAAAGCCATATGGGAAGACTTCCCGGTGACAACGATGATGATAATGATGATGGCAGTGGTGGTGGTGGTGGTGGGTCCAGGTTACCGCTGAGAAACCACGGGAGAGAAGGAAAGCCTGGTAGATGCTTTAAGTGGTGTAGTTTAAAACCTTTTCTTACTTAGAAGACCTAAATTCACATAGAATCTCTACCATTGATAGCTCTGGGACCTCAGGGAATTTACTCAACTATTCTGGACCTGTTTCAACTGCAAAAAAAAAACAAAAAACAAAAAACAAAAACAAACAAACAAAAAAAAACAGTATAGTGAAAAAACCATGGAAATAAGTGCCTTTCCTAAAGATCTGTTGCAACAGTTAAATGAGATAGCAGGCAAGGCACCCAGGCGCAGTGCTTGGCATGCAGGCTGTTGAGTAAATGCGTGTTTTCCTCTCCTTCCCTGCCTCCACTCCCCTGCTCTGCTCCCCACCTGGGCCAGAGCAAGTAGTGTGGCTTCGGGTAGTGGGAAAGAGCCACCCTCCCCAGATGAGAGTCCTTCCCAAGAGCCCCATCCGAGTCTCAGTGGCCCCAGGGAAAGGGCTGACTGCCAAGGGATCCTCAGGCCCCAGCCCAGCATCCCCCTCCCAAGCTCAGCGAAACATTGGGAGGCTCGGATCAGGGAAGACAGCCCAGTTCCTTAGCAACTAACAAGCATTTCTCTGTAAAGACAAAGACCCTTCACTCAGAATGCTCCTTCCTACCGCGCCCCCCCCCCTCCGCCTCTCCAGGTGTCTGATGCACTTTGCAGGAATGGGGCTAGGGGCTGCCCACCCCCTGCCCAGGTTTAAGGCCTTTTGCCCCACCTTCCTGGCCATCCTGATATTACCTGTAATTATCCCACAGCACCTTTCATCCTGGTGCTAATTAACCTTCCCATTTACCCCCAGGAGCTGCTGGGAGACACGTGAGGCATCCATACACACACACACACACACACACACACACACACACACGCCCTCCTGCATATACATATATACACAAATGTCCATATTCCCCCTTCAGAGACCCTTGCTCCATTTTCGAGATTAGGAAACTAAGGTTCTAAAGAGGAGCCAATTCCTTGAGGGTTCCCATTTGCCTTCTGAGTACTCAGAAGGCAAAACAGGAGCTGAATAGTCTGGCTCAGGGAGAGGGGGAGACAGGGTCCCCCTTAGCATCCTGGTGGGAGAGGGACCAGGAAAGAGAAAAGCCTTTGGAAAAGACTTGAAGAAAACTGAGCCAGGACAGAGGTCTCGGCTCAGTGCCACCTTGGGGCCACCAGACACAAGTTGTCATGCTTAACACAAAGAGGACATTTCAAAGGGAAGAAAGGAAATATTTTGATTAAAAAAAGAAAGGAAGAGAAAGAGGCAGAAAAAGAAGGAAATAGAAAAGAAAGGCATGGCCATCTGGTCGGATGTAGGGACCTGATTTTAGTACCATTCACTGCTGTGTGAGCCTGGACAAGTCAGCTGGCCTCTCTGGGCCTCACTTTCCTCATCTATAAAATAGCTTGGGATGGGTGTTTCCTGAGGTCCCCTCTAGCTGAAAATTCCGCAACTCTATGTGCCTATTTTGGGGAATGGTAGAAAAAGCCACGACTACTGTCCCTTTGGCCGGATAGGAGTGGGGATAGGTGAGAGGAAGCCACCAGAACCAGGTAGAACCTTGGGATTGAGAATAAAAAGGAGCCAAATGCATTTGGCTGCAGAAGTCCCTACCAGGAGGGCCAAACTAAAAGGTTTTAGTCTGAGGAGCTAAAGACCTTGGGATTTCAGGAGGACCTGCTCCCAGAAGCAACAACCAGCAACAGAGCTCATCTTCCCCAGATCCAGGCAGGAGGAAGCCCATTCAGAGAGCCTGGTGGAGGGAAGGTGGAGAAGCACACGGCCCTGTGTCTGCACCCAGTGGCCACAGAGCCTCCTGACATGTTCCAAATGAGGGCAGGACACAGAAGCACTTCCTTGATTCCTCACAATCTGGAGTCTGCCCCACTGGCATAAGTTACCTGGGCAGGGAGCAGAGGGTTCAGAGGAAAGAGGCTGAACTTATCAGAAAGGCAGGCACAGCAAGGTGTTGAGTTC